AAAAAACGATGCGTTTTTATCGGAGTCATTCATTTAAATTTGTGTGCATTAGTATTTTATCGATCGTTATTATTTATCAAATCTATTTTCTATTCTTTTGTTTGAATGATCGATTTAGTCCGATACAAAAAGAACATTTCTTCACATCGATAAATTCTGAATTTGAAGAAATCTCATATACACTTGAACCATTTACGATTGCTTTACCTCACTTTTCCGATAATGAAGCACGCAATTGGTTTCTTAATACGACTTATTATAGACGATATTCACAACAATGTCTGCATAATGAATGTGAAAAATATGGATTTTTATTCAATGATTCAAAGGAACATCTCAATATTCATATTGCCTTGGTAAATAATGGTGTTTATTATGATGATGCTTGCGGTTATAGATACGATGAAGCAGCTCTTCGACGAACATTTGTAGCTCCGAAACATGTTTCTGTTGTTTATGAACAAGCAATTATTTATACAGTACCAGACGCTTGGAGTTTTCAACATTTTCTTGATGGAATCGGACCTAAATTAGTTCATTCTCGAAAATACTTGGATAAATATCCGAGTGCTAAAGTACTGATTTTAGAAGGTCCTCGATTTGATCGATCTGTAAAAGAAATATGGACTTTACTTGGTAAGTTTAAGTTATTTGTCTAAAACGAAATGATCATCGATTTCGAAGATTATAGGTGTGAATGAATCAAATCGAATAATTCATTATAATCGTCAAATGAAAGTCGGTGCTCATCTCTTGATAAATCCATGTCGAGCACCAGGTATTCATCCTCGTCTTTGGCAAGATGCTCGTTCGATGTATTGGTCTTTGATAAATCTTCCAAAAGCGAAATCAAATCTTTTAATCTATGTTCAACGAACATCAACAAATACTAAAAATCCAGGACGTCTTATTCTAAATGAAAAACCTGTTATTGAACTTCTTCGTGAATATGCTGCTAAGAATTCATTAATTTATGTACAATATGATCATTCCCAACAAAATGATTATATTGGAAAACAAATCGAATTATTTTATAATGCTCGTATTATTTTTGGTATACATGGTGGAGCGTTATCAAATATAAATTTCTCTCCTTCAGAAACGATTATTATTGAAATAATACCTTATCGATCTGATAAAAGTTCATTACCGATTGTTTGTTCAATGTTTAATCCAAATACGTTCAAACCATGTAGTGGTTACAATTACTATGTGCAAGCTCAATTACTCAATCAATCCTATTGGATTCTACCTAATGTAGTTGATAGTCGAACGAATGTCAATGTGAATATAACTCGACTTCAACAACTTTTTGATTCTTTACCTGTTCAACATTAAATCGATTAAAATATTCATCTCACACCTTCAAAGTGATTGGGTAGATATTCTTTGTGAATTCCTATGTCGGACACTACAAAAATAACACCCTATCATAGGATATGCATATCTGTTAAAGAAGAAATCTTTTTCAGTTAATCAGAATTCTGTACCTATGGAATGCAACTCTAAAGAGATTCTTCAGAAAGTACATTTCGTATCATTTCAGAGTTTATATCGGTGTAAGACTTTGCCGCAAAATTTCTTTTGATAATATTCCATTGATCTACAACAAATAAATTTTATCCTGTTTTACTTTTCTGTACAAGATATCTATACATTAGTCCCTTTAAGTCTCTTTAATACCTTTAGTCCTTGTGTTCAAATAGAAGTATTTTTGCCTTTTCATTCGCTCGTAAGAAAAAGACTAATTCTTCACACTAGTTAAGGTGGGTGTAGGTGATGATGAAGTGAACAGCCACACCCTCAGGGTGAAAAATAAACGACTAACAAGCAACATATTCGCTACAAATAATATAGAACTATTTCAAATGTTTATTATAATAAAAATAAATTTATAAAGAGAAAAAGAACAAGCAAAAATTTAATCACGTACTAAGTGTTAGCGTGTCTTAGCCTCGTTCTTTTTTTATAATTTATTTTTTCTATAAAAATGAGCCTCTCAGTATTTTATAAAATTTTCATCGAAGGTTTCGCTTATTGCCCACTATGTATATCTGAACATTCAATCTAAAAAAAAGAAAATCAGAACTTTAATGGTTGTCTGGAATATTATGCTTTGTATAATATAATTGTGTCAAAAGTTCGTTTTAGACAAGCCGTAATCACATTACTTTGTGTATTTTTTTTTATTTCATTTTGTATTTTTGTGCTTGAAGGGCTCGGCTGCCATTTTTAATTTCAACAGTTTTTAATATTATATTCATCTTCATTCTACTTGATGTTTCTGGCTGCTCTTTCATAGATAAGACAAGAAGATAACAAACGAGTTTTTTATGTCGATTGTTTCAATCATTATCTTAACGTATTATTCAAGCTATTATACCCACCTCAAGATAGTTAACAGTGAATGACTTTGAAATGACGAAGAAAGCAAGATCGAGTTTCATCGTTGCTGAAAACTTTTCAGATTCATTCTTTCTTTCTTATTTCTGTATAGACGATGAACTGTGTTCACTATAATGTCTGATTGCGACTAATTGATTGTGTGACGAATTGACCGATCACTCTTTCGTTCATATAATATATTGTTAGGTGGTGTCATCATCTTTCTTCATTTCTTTCTCACGGCATATATGTATAGTTTCTTTCGTTCTGTTGTTACGTATACATATATCATATAGAATGTGATTCATCATCTTCTTCTATATGTGTGTTCTCGTTCTCTTCTATATCGTTCATGAATTTCTCCTCTCCTATCGTTTACATATGTGATGCTATATGTTATGGGACTTTTCTTCATCTTGTTCACTTGATCTCTTGTTGGACATATCCCTAACAGGGTGTTCCACCATCCTATATATTCTCCATACTCTTTTGTACATATCTTATGTACATCATATATTCTTGACTTTCTTTGTTCTCTTTCGGATGTATATCTAATCGAATGATATGCATATTTAATCTGTTTTGTTCGATGAATTATATGACGAAGAACGGTTAAGTGCATCATATAAAAGAAGAAGAAAATAGTGAAATAAAGGAAAATTGAAGTATACGCCACATTTGTCAGTACATATTTCTGTTGTATGATATAAACTAACATCGATTTTCGTCGTTATACACTATCTTATTGTATGTTATAATCATTGTTGTTGTCTTTACTATTATGAACGGACAATCATCATCATTTGTCACAGTACAAAATGGTCGTTTGACTTTGAATAATCAAGATTATATGTATATTGGCACCAATTTTTGGTATGGTGCTAATCTTGCTTCACAAGGACCGGGTGGCAATCGTCCGCGTTTACTACGTGAATTGGATCGATTACATTCATTAGGCATCAATAATTTACGCATACAAGCAGGTAGTGAAGGTCCAAATACAGAACCATGGCGTATTATT